TATCCGATGCCATTATGTAAATAAATCGATATTCAATAGAATTTAACTATATTAATTTAAAAATTCAAAGGTTTTTTTTTTATTCTTCTTTCTGTGGCGTTCTCAGTTTTGCACAGAAATTTCGCCAATGTCCAGTAGGTAGTGAGAGAGACACGAGAAAGACTGCTCGGTAGAAACCGTTAAATAACCGAGTATACGTTCTTCCTTGAGTATTTCACTTTTCTGAAAGCACAACCTAACAAACAAACACAAAGACGTCACAGGTTAAACAATATTAATTTATATGACATGGGTAGAGCCGACATTTACATCCAAATAAAAATAGAAGGGTTAATAAAAGTTAGAGTTTAATATTGTATTTTTTTTATGAATTTACATAAACACAAAAAGCCAGGTTTGTCGGTCAATGTTAGAATTGTATTAATGTTAAAGGGACGTACAGTTTTGGGTGGAAGTAGAGAATATAGAGATGGGTGTTTTTGACAGTTGAAAAAAATGTGGTCTACAGTGCCTTCCTCGAGTCCGCACTCACAAATGGAGCTGTCTAGTATATGTAATTTGGAAAGAAAGACTGGCGAGGTAACGTGGCCGAGACGAAGACGGCTAATAGTTGTAATGACATTGCGCTAGCATGGATTCCTGGTCATAGTGATATTCGAGACAACGAAATCGCAGACACTTGGGCGAAAGACGCTACACTATCAGGTAACCCTTCACGTCTTCAAAATTACTCGGCAGATGTCCTCCAATTAGCTAAAACCGACCTTCAATCCGAATGGAGTAAAAGATGGAGTCGTAACTCCAAAATTATAGGCCGCCATTATGGCAGCCTTCAGGAAATAATACCCAGAAAACCTTGGTTTGCTAATTCAAAGGTTGTTTTGAAATATTTTCAACAGTGACAATGACAAACGTCAAAGACGAAAAAAAAGTTTAAAAAAGTAATTTATAGCAATGGATTCAAACTGATTTGCTAGTATCGGTTGGATATTGAGATAGTGATGTGACTGAATGAATCAATATTGACATTCAATCAAAGAGTAAGGCTGAATGATACAAGCAGTGTTGCCAACTCTACGTCTTTTTACGTAGATCTACGTATTTTAGGCCTTTTCTGCAAACCTACTAACTTTAGTCCCAGAATCTACGTATTTTCTTTAATTTTTTCAAATTTGTAAAATAAAATAATTCACTAGAATAAAGAAGAATATTTTCCGTTACTTTAATTAAAAACTATAAAAATGTTTATTTCTTATAAAGATGTATCTGAAAACTCTTTTAACTTGTAGAAAAGGTTCCCGTCATTGGTTTTGTTGACTAAATTAATGCTGGACGCAGGATTTGTGAAAGGAGAAACGACAAAACTCTTTGACTTAGTAGGTACATTCGTAACCTTAAAAAGTGATTTTTTAAACTTTAAATATTATTCAATGAGTACTTACATCGAATTGATGTTTGCAAAAAGAAATGACTTTCAGTCGATAAAGTTACAGGAATTAGTAAGTTTTTAACATGTGTTCATGTATAAGTGTATGTATTATTTCCCTTGGCAATTTTAACCACAACTTTCTAGAGTCTTTTACCAAGTGTATTATGATAACTAACTCTATTTTTCATGTGATCTATTAGAAATCATGGTTTTTTAATACCACATGGTCATGGTCTACCGCAGCATGGTAAATGCTTCCAATGCAGCGATTTCTCCAAGAACTCTTTGTTCTATCTCCCGTTTTTAAAGAAATTGTATAACAAAATACTCGTTTCATTCGGTTTCACCTGACTTCTTCATTTCACTCAGAAAAAAGTACGTAGATCTACGTACTTTTCATATGCAAAAAATACTAAATCTACGTAATTTTCTCATCGGGCCTACGCCTTTTTCAAAATCCGAGTTGGCAACACTGGATACAAGTAATCACAGATTGTAAAGATAAAATAAAAATATTATAACTTTGATAATTTTCTACCCACAAAACAAAAATTATTTGAGAATTTGGAAAAATGTTTACCCACGAATTATGATGATTGGCAAAAATGATAACGTAACTTTTGGAAAGAAAATAGATGATTACTAGGATGATTTACGGTAGGATTTATCGGGGAGAAGGACCAAAAAGGATTATATGCGGGACAGGAAGTGATTTGGACTTACGATTTTTTATTTTCTCCGATAGCCTCTAGAGCAGCGCTGGTCTGCCTGTATTTTCGTAAGTTTCCGGATGTTGTAGGAATGTTATCTTGAGCTAGTCCTAACTGTCCTTCACGTAATCTGTTGATTTGATGATGTTCCTTTGTGTTCGTTGAACAACCGACGCGCTGGCTATATGTAATTTGGATCGGGGCTTTTCGTAAGTCGACCGATCCTTATGGCGTCGTAGTAGTAACAGGCAGCTGACAGATACTGCCTGTCTACCCTCGTATTACAATAAAAAATCGTCCAAGGGATAGGAAAAGGTGGGTAAGCGGATGTAATGTTACGTTATCATATCTAACGCATTCAATATAATTTGAAACCGAACAAATATATATACGTGTTCCAAACTCAATTTTTTTTTTTTTTTTAATTCACGCGTTTTAATGTCACATTTATAATTATAATTATCTTGGTATGCGTGCTTACAAACTGCCGAAAGTATCGCGCATACCAAATTTTAACTCTTCGCTTTTTCACGGTTTCTATATTTCTGTAAAGAGTGAGTGAGGCAAATTTTTGGTTCAAGTTGAAACCTTGCACGAGTTCGTCTCTTTCTATTCCCACATTTAACATTTACCTGCCTCAAAGATACACAATACCGTAAAGTGAGGTTGTTCTATGACAGGGCTGCATAGTGTTAACTCTATGATGAAACGCTGAGATTGGATCTAGTGCTTTAAATGTTCTTTTAAAACGCAACAGTACACTGACTAATTTAATAATAAATAATTTAATTAAAATATTTCCGCCAATCAAATCCACGCCGACCAAGCAAATCTTCTTCGTCTAAATGTTAACTTTTATTTTTTATTAAAAATATTAGAATCGGTGATCACGGAGCTTTCAGGATTGGTGCCTCCCGGACTATTATAACTTACGGCGATCAGGACAGGGTTGCCACCAGTACTTTATTATAAAGTATTGTACGTTATTTCGGATAATTGTACTCTATACTTTATGCCAACAATAAAGTACGCAAAAATACTTTATTTAATGTGATTTGATTACTCGGGGATTAATTTTACATAAAATATACAAACAGAGGTTGATATGAAGAATTTTTGCCTAAAACGGACAGATAGTCCTTAACGACATTTGTATGGCTTTGTAATATGACCTTTTCCATTGCGGAAAAGGACTACAGATTTTTATTAGCCACAAATTATTTATTAAAAGTTGCTAGTAGCAACGTCAAATATACGTGGAACACAAAACTAACTTCTATAAAAAAATATTTCTATTAAATCTTTTCAACGAACTCTCAGCTAGCCTCTATACAAAGTTTCATGCGTCTGAACCAATTTTTTCAAAACATTTTCTCCAGTCCTCTGCAGTCACCTCTTCAACGGCCTTCTCAAACGCTGCTAGCGCTTCTTCCGGCGATGAAGACTGTATCCCTTTGAGCTTTTTTTTTTATTTTAGGGAATAAAAAGAAGTCACATGGAGCCATATCAGGACTGTAAGGAGGGTGTCCCAACACTGACTGGTGTGGAGTCCAGGAAGTCCTTCGTTTTGATCGCAGAGTGCGCGGGCGTGTTGTCGTGATGAAGAAGGACCCCGCGGAGCCCGGTGTTAGGTCGCTTGTTTCTCATTGCAGAAAAAACTTCTGGCAGGCAATATACCATTTGGCGTTGATGCTGCTTTGGTCTCGAAGTGGAATTCAAATTAGGTACCCCGTCAAAGTGACGAAACTAGCGATAATCATAATCATAATCAATATCGCTTCACTTTCGTAAGCGTTGGTTCATTTTGTAACAGCCAAACTTTCGACTGACGTTTTGTTTCTGGATCGTTTTGATAAATCCAAGATTCGTCACCTGTCACAATATCGTAAACGCTCCGTGACGAGCCGGCATCAAATTTTTGTATCATATCACTGCACCAATCCACACGGGCCTGCTTCTGAGCTTCGGTGAGGTTGTGCGGCCCCCAGCGGGAAACTATCCTCCTTGCGCAAAGGTGCTCGTGCAAAATCTTGTGAACACTCGCTGAACAATCTGCAGATTATGCATAATCTCTTTTTACGTAATTCGTCTGTTTCCTTTTTTTACTGCCAGCACACTTTCTTTGGTTACAGCCGTCGTAACGACGACATGCTCGCCGACCGACCGACGACCACTCCTTTGTTCATCCCCCAAAGTAAGACGACCGCGTTTAAACTCGCTACACCAGCGGTAGATAGTTGCTTTTGAAGGTCCTTCGTCCATAAAAGTAGTTCTTAATCGATTAAATGACTCATCGGGTTTTAAGCCACATTTAAATACGTAAAAAATCATAGCACGAAATTGTTCTCGATGTAGATCCATTTTTAATGAGACAAGAAAAATTGAATTGGCCTTCGAAAAAATGCGGAGGGAAATTGAAAATCGAACAGTGGTATTTTTACTTTTAAATAATAAAATTTTCAAAATAATCACAAGTGTCCAGTCTTATACATAAAATCTTTTTTTCGCAAAACTTTCTAAATGGCCTGGTATTTTGAGCTTACTAATAAAGAGGAATAAAAAGTAACTTCTTCTACCTTTCATATCCAATCTACTTTATATGGACAAAAATGGTGGCAATCCTAGTCCTAGACCAGACCTTCCACCTTCCTACAGCGATCTGGATCGACAGTAGGTACTAACGTTGCGTATGATAAGTGTATTCAACTGTTTTCATGCAAATTCAAGTCGTGTGTTGCAACCGGGGCTCAGTTTGTCCTGATCTTTTAATTTTGCATCAAGTTACAGTATGCGTGTACTTAACATTAAAACAATTTTTATAGAAACATAGTTATATATTTTTTATATTCACATAATAGTCTTGAAAAGTATATAAATTTACATTTTGTATCAATATTATAATAGGGTTAGATATGATTAAATCTATGCTATGGTACTTGTGCCTGGGACCTTTCTGAAGTGCTTTCAACAGAATCGGCAGTGCCATTGGCTTGTGGTTCTGGTGAATCTGATCTTGTCCTTGATACAGACAAAGCATTTTGACACTTGTTTCGTAGTTCAAACACCTGAGTTATTGCATCACGGAAGCAAAGAAAGTTGTAGTCTATCACACCTATAACAAAAACACATCTATTATGACTACAAAAAAAATATTAAATCAGTCCGTTAAACACGGAATTTTCTTAACATATCGACATATTTCTTGAATAGTCAGAATAATAAATTGCTGCTTTATTATCATTATATATAACAAAACTAAGTTGATAAAATGTGCGTGCCGATAAAACTTAAAAAGTAGTCCCGGCACGATAAAGGGACTTATATAGTGTGATAGCCCTATATCCCCCCTCGAACAAGAAAGTTCCCGTTTTAACCTAAAGGGCGTGTTTTTAAAGATATAGGGCTTTACCTTCAACTTGGAAATTAAGTGTAGTCGCGCCATCTGTTGTCGAGTATTTGAACTTAGAAAATAAGTGTATTGGAGCCATCTGTTGTCGAGTATTTAAATTGAAGAAGGTGTGAGAAAGAAAATATTCTCAAACTTTCTCGAATATCCTAGAGCCTAGCTCTCTGAAAATAAATAGGAGCCCGGTAGGAGGACGAACTGCCCATTCTGCCTTACAACTACCGTTGAATATAGCCGAACAACAATTCCGGGTATGTAAAATCTCAGGAAAGTCTGAACGGGGTCAACTTCTAAAACAAGCTAAAATTATCTTTTGGGATGAATGCACCATGCCCCATAAAAAATCACTAAAAGCCATAGACAGAACATTACAAGAATTGCGAAAAAACTTAGAAATAATGGGAGGAGCTCTACTCATACTCTCAGGAAATTTTCGACAAACACTTCCAGTTATTCCCAAGTCAACACCAGCAGACGAGATCAATGCATGCTTAAAAAAGTCACATCTCTGGCCACAAGTTCAAATACTGCAATTAACAAAAAACATGAGAGTTGAATTATCAAAAGAATAACAGTACATTTTGCTAAAATACTTTTACAAATAGGCGAAGGTACATATGATTACTGACCAAACAACCGGCCTCATTGAACTCAATAGTGATTTCTGTAACATAGCCACTACTGAAAACGAACTAATCGACAAAATTTATCCAAATAGTATTCAGAACTATACCAACATAAAGTGGTTATTTTAAAGAGCAATTTTTGAAAATACGTAACATAATATTGTAGACAATATCAATTTTAATATTGTAAAGAAAATACCTGGTGAAGAGAATATATATAAATCGATCGACACAATGGATACATTGAAGAAAGTGTCAACTTCCCTACTGAATTTCTAAACTCTTTACAATTACCAGGAATGCCATTACACTGTCTTCGTCCGAAAATTGGATCTCTAATCATACTACTCAGAAATCTCAACTCCCCCAAACTATGTAATGGAACGAGGATGATCGTATTCAATGGAAGTTGAACTTATTTCTGGAAAGAACAAAGGACAAAGTATTTATACCTAGAATACCACTGATCTCTTCTGATTTGCCATTTCAATTTAAAAAATTGCAGTTTCCAATTAAATTAGCTTTTAGTTTTACATTTAACAAAGCGCAAGGGCAAACTTTAATATAACTTTATTCTCTTATAAGACACAAAAAACATGTCTGATTTTGACTTAGTTAATAGAAATAAATGATTAAAAATAGTTTTGTTCTCAATGTTGGTTACATTTACCAACAAAAAACGTCGCGATTTTGCAAATCAATCAATCAATCAATACAAGGGCGCATGCACTGACTGTGTGGGTAACTTACAATGTGAAGAAATGCATTACAGCTAAGAAATACTAGAAAGAATTCGCTGCGGCCATTACGGCCGCGGTAGCATAATGATCAGTGCACCCACCCGGATAGCGGAGGGTGCGAGTTCGAGTCCCGTCTGCTGCCTGGACCCCGTGGAATTTTTTATAGTAAAATTTTCTTTAGATTTTGATACCTTAACTTAAATTAATGATTCCTAGAATAACGTCACCTCCTCAGACATTTAGTGTATGTGGAGTTCTGGTGCGATTGTGAAGATAGGTGACACAGCGAATGTGTCGCTAGCTACAGCCAACTCACTATGCCTGAATGAAACAAATCGCCTACCCCATCCAGCCCTGAAACCTTCCATATGGACGCTCCAATTTAAAGGAAAATCCACTATGTTCTATCTGTATTCCAAATCTTAGTTAAATATATTTATCACTACAACTTAATATTTTATTAGGATGGTCCGATTTCAAGGAAAATAATTAATATAATAATAAAATTTAAATAATTAATCGCCAATCAGTTGAAATAATATCAGACCATGGCCAACAAACTGATTTTCTTACGCTCCTAATCCATCTCAGTGCCAATCAATCTCGGACAAACATGTTGAACAGCAACTGACTACCAGTTTTGAATAATTAGAATGTGTAGAAATTACCTTGCTTTTGAAAGTTTTCCTCGCGCAAAATGCAGACAAGCGCCAAAAATTTGTTTACTTCACGAAGGTACAGTACAGTTCCATTGTTCAGTTTTATCAAACTTGAACTTTGATTATTGAATGTGTTTACTTCAACTGTTTCGTCAACCATTCTAAAAAAATATAAAGATTATAAATAAAATAAAATGTCTTTCATGCATGCCTCTTATTTTAATTGACCTCAAACAAATTATTAACTTTTAATTCAGTTATCCTAAAAGGACAATGGGAAGACACATTTGAAGCGTCTAGTAGGGCAGGTAATTTCCTACCATGGCGACATACTTCAAATAAATGGGTTTAGGTTAAATAAATACTAAAAGTGCCCTAAAGTTTTACCCGCATTAATTTTAGGAAATAGGTTAAAGTGATTTAATCGAAAAAAATCGAGGACCCAAAGTTTTTAGTAGGGCTACTAGCAACGGAAGAAGCCAACTAAATAAACTAGAAAATTGCACAGGGCAAATAGTCACTGAAACTTCTGGGTTGCTAAGTATAATAGCTGAATTCTATGGAGACTTATATAACACACATACTTGCAAACCGACTGTCGTGGACACTGCTGATAAACGCGCACCTCTGACAAGACACTATTCAGAGGATATTCCTGAAATTAGTATCTATGAAGTCAGACAAGCGCTAAAACAACTAAAGCAGTATAAGTCACCAGGAGACGACGGCATAACGACGGAACTCTTAAAAGCAGGTGGTCGGACAATGCTAAAAGAACTTCGTTGGATATTTAACGAAGCGCTTTGCACTGGCAACATACCGAACAAGTGGCTTGATAGTATTGTTGTCCTGTTTCATAAGAAAGGTCCCAAGACAAAACTTAAGAATTACCGCCCTATCTCGCTGCTAAGTCAAGTGTACAAAGTATTCTCACGCATAATGATGCGACATCTAGGATTACAAATTGGCTAGATGAGCAGCAGCCCAGGGAACAAGCGGGATTCAGAAAAGGTTATGGTACAACTGATCATATATTCACGGTAAGACAAGTGATACAGAAATCACTAGAATATAATAGACCACTTTACCTTGCTTTCGTGGATTATGAAAAGGCGTTCGATACGGTGGAACACGGGGCTATATTTAACTCACGTCAGAGATGCAAAGTCGACTATAGGTACATCGAGCTCCTAAGAAGCTTATATAAATCTGCCACAATGACAGTTGAAATTCAAGGGGCCAGAACAACTGTTCCAATAAGGAGAGGTGTACGTCAGGGTGATGTGATATCTCCAAAACTGTTTACGAACGCCCTTGAATACATTTTCAAAACTGTGGACTGGAAAGATCTGGGTATAAATGTAGACGGAGAGCACCTGAACCACCTCCGTTTCGCTGACGATATCGTTTTACTCAGCGAGTCGCGAGAAGGTCTTGAAAAAATGCTCAAGGATTTGAAAGACACGTCTCTCCGAGTGGGCCTGAAAATTAATCACGAAAAGACTAAGTGGATGAGCACCACTGACGGTTCGACGATTTCAATAGATGGCGTAACGATCGAATGTGTGAGCAGTTATACCTACCTAGGCCAAAACATCGTGCTAAGTAAAGACTCGATGGAAAACGAAGTTAACAGACGAATACAGCTAGGTGCTGAAAACACGTGTCTATAATCAATGCGTTCTTCCAGTAATGACGTATGCTTGTGAGACGTGGACGCTGACTGTCGGGATACTCCACCGCCTGAAAGTAGCGCAAAGGGCAATGGAACGTGCAATGCTTGGCGTCTCTTTGAGGGACAGAATACGAAACGAAGACATTCGCCAACGCACCCGAGTTACCGACATAGGTAAACGGGTTGCTCGACTTAAATGGCAATGGGCTGGTCATGTATCTCGAAGAGACGACAACAGGTAGTCGTGCAGAACCCTACTTTGGAGACCTCGCACAGGAAGCAGAAGTGCCGGCCGACCACCTGTCCGATGGTCGGACGACATTAAAAAGACGGCAGGGCCGACCCGGACCAGAACCGCCGCATCAAGAACTTCTTGGAGAGTCATGCAAGAGGCATATGTCCAGCAGTGGACCTCATAATGCTGAGAAGAAGAAGAAGAAAGGTTAAAGTGGGTCAACCTTAAAAGATAGACATATCTAACCGAACCAGACCTAGCTTCTAAATTCTAGAAAATAATTGGAAGGAAAAAGAAAAAAAGGAAAAAAGGAAATTTCAATATATAGACAACCCAAAGTGATAATTATAATTTTTATTATTTTTAAAGCATGTAACTGCTTGATGTTTAAATCTAAAGAAAATATAACTAGAAAAAATTCCACGCGGACCAGGCAGCAGACGGGACTCGAACCCGCACCCTTCGCAATCCGGGCGAATGCACTGACCAATTATGCTACCGCGGCCCTCACGGACCGCGTCGAAATTCTTTCTAGCTATTCTTAAGCTGCAAGGCAGCGCCATCTCTTCGCATTATAGGTAAACCCACAATGTCAAATGAATACTTTTACAAGTATTAAACATTTGAAAGAAGAAATAGCAATTATAGTTATAATTTTTATTATTTTTAAAGCATGTAACTGCTTGATGTTTAAATCTAAAGAAAATATAACTAGAAAAAATTCCACGCGGACCAGGCAGCAGACGGGACTCGAACCCGCACCCTTAGCAATCCGGGCGAATGCACTGACCAATTATGCTACCGCGGCCCTCACGGACGGACGGCATTATAACTATAATTGCTATTTCTTCTTTCAAATGTTTAATACTTGTAAAAGTATTCATTTGACATTGTGGGTTTACCTATAATGCGAAGAGATGGCGCTGCCTTACAGCTTAAGAATAGCTAGAAAGAATTTCGACGCGGTCCGTGAGGGCCGCGGTAGCATAATTGGTCAGTGCATTCGCCCGGATTGCGAAGGGTGCGGGTTCGAGTCCCGTCTGCTGCCTGGTCCGCGTGGAATTTTTTCTAGTTATATTTTCTTTAGATTTAAACATCAAGCAGTTACATGCTTTAAAAATAATAAAAATTATAACTATAATTGCTATTTCTTCTTTCAAATGTTTAATACTTGTAAAAGTATTCATTTGACATTGTGGGTTTACCTATAATGCGAAGAGATGGCGCTGCCTTGCAGCTTAAGAATAGCTAGACAGAATTTCGACGCGGTCCGTGAGGGCCGCGGTAGCATAATTGGTCAGTGCATTCGCCCGGATTGCGAAGGGTGCGGGTTCGAGTCCCGTCTGCTGCCTGGTCCGCGTGGAATTTTTTCTAGTTATATTTTCTTTAGACCCAAAGTGAGTTTGGATTTTGCTTCAACCCCCCTACGGATGAATAGTTAAATTCTCCTTCCGGCGAGTCTATTAAGGTAGGTATGGCGCCCGAGTACTTTTTTTAATTTTATTGCGACCTATCCTAATTGATTTAAAACACAATTTTTGTTTTTCCACTTAAAAACCTCTTTTTAATTATTTTGACACATTTTAAATTTTTATAAGCCCAAGCAAAACCAACCTACTAAGAACTTGGTACCAGGCCTGCATTATCTTTTTCATATCTCTTAAAATAACCAAAGACGAATCGAGTACTGTTGGTAATTGAGAAGTCCATTATTTTCTGTGAAAGTACTGATCAGAACTTCACTAAATTAATACAGGACCATTTTGCCAAAAATCTGATTCAAACAAAAAAATCATCTTCAAAATTGGTCCACAAATCTTGGAGAGATGCGCGAAAACCAAATAAAAAACCATGTTATAACGCATTAAGAACCTCCCCCTTTTTGAAGTCAATTAAACATGAACAGTAAGATAAACATTGTAGTTGTATTGTCAATAATTTTTCAGTTTAACACTATTTTAATAAAATATATATATTTTTTTGTATGAAAACAAACAAATTTTTTGCAGATTTTTTTTATTAATTATAATAGGGTATTTGACAACTTTTAGAAAACGATCTCACGTTATTGACTAATGTTTATGGAGTCCGTAAAAAGTGGATATTCATCATTCTGTTGTGTATTTCAGTAAAAATAACCAAATCAAAAACTCCATTTTGAAGTTGCCCCGAAAACGTTTCTCTGGACAATATGACTTCTTACTAGTGTGTGACGTCACACGACTGTTATTAAAACGTCAAATGATACAATGTAATGTCACTTTAACTGGAAGTTCACTTGCTTGTGACGTCATTTTAGGCTCCGCCAATCCCAAGTGTTTTGGGTCACAACGTGACAATAGAGATAAGAAAACTATTATCTTTTTAGTGGGTTTTTAGTAAAATTATGAATATTTTTTTTGTAAAAATACTAAAAACCTCTGCCAATATTCATTCTAAACACAGATGCTAACAATTGGCACTTAATTTTTAATACTGTCAAATACCCTATTAAGCCCTATCAATTTCCCAACAAGTGTTCTGTCTCTTTTAGAGTACAAATGAACAAATAAATCCACACGCATTCCGTGGCTGTTGCAGGATGGGGATGGAGTCCAAACAAAATTCCCCATGGTCCTTTATGTGTAATATTTTAATTAAAATGTCTATCCAACCAGTACCTGTAAATATTATTTCAGTAGTTTAGTAAAGAATTTATTATTGTCATTATTGAAATGGAAACAATAACAAAAAAACCGGCCAAGTGCGAGTCGGACTCGCGCACCGAGGGTTCCGTACAAACTCAATTTAATAACTCTACGCCTTCATGAGAAAAGAAGTAGTAACTTTAAAATTTTCAAAAATAATATATAATTTACGGTTTTCCCAATTTTTCCTTCATCTGTACTATAAGACGTTACATCGCACCAAATTTTAAGATTCTAAGTTCACGGGAAGTACCCTGTTCCCGTGTAGGGTTACCATCCTTCTGGGTTTGTACTTTGCCCTTTGTCCGGACTTTGTCTGGCTTTTTAATTTATCTGGATTTTTCTAATTAGTTTGAATATGAGTAAAACTACTTATTAAGTTATTTCAATTAAGTCAAAAAACCTTCATTACATTCTCATTCATATAAAACAAAATATAAATCATCTTTAAAAATCAGCAATGAGACCTCTTGCGATGCGAGCATCTGCTACCATGCATATAATATCACTGTAACTAAGTGGGTGATGCTTGCATTTTGTGACTAAAATATCTGGACTTTTATCGAAATGTTGGGCTTTTTGTCAGGACTTTTCAGCTTTGTAAATAATAACCCTATTCCCGTGTGAGTTAAACGGCTACATAAACGGCTGTAACTTTTGATTGGTTTGGCTTAGAAGTTTGATTTTTTCACAGCTCCAAGGGACAGTAGACATGAGTATTAGATATGAATTTCAGTTTGATACCTCCAGACGTTCCTGAGAAAAACGGTCTTAACAGACGGACGGACAACAAAGTGATCCTATAAGGGTTCAGTTTTTTCCTTTTGAGGTACGGAACCCTAAAAGTAATTTTTAACACTACAGGCAGTGAATTGCAAATATTTTTTGAGTTCACTCAATGAACCCAGTGTTTTCTTAATAATTGGGTTACCAAAATTGTAAAAAATACTGACAAGCACACATACAATTTTGTATAAAAATCGGACCATTAAAATGGTCCTATGGTATAATATGTTACTAATATATAGAATAGATATGTTACTAAAGTAACATAATACAAATACTGTACAGAGAGTTGTCAAATATGCCACTGCTGTAATAATTGATTTAAGTATTGTTATCACACAGAACTTTATTATCTTAATTGCCTTTAATGTGTCACAACATAGTAACATACATTATTATTTGTCTTTCAATACTCACCCATAGATACATGAGATATCAATAACAACATCTATCATATCACAGCAGAGCTCATAACTTTGCATGTCAACAGGAGAGCTATCAGTTGCTATGTATATTTTGGATACAACGTCAAATAGGAATGCCTTTTCTATCCCAGAGTTCTGAAAAAAAAAATATCATTTAGTAGGACAACAACCAATTAACATGAATCAGAGACTAACATTTCAATTAATGCCCATTTACATTTCAGCCTTGATTGAAGATTGCATTTTTATGCAATAGTAGATGAGACTCTATTAAAACTAATAAATTCTCGATGGACACATCAGCGATAATTTGAAATTTGTATTATTTTATAAATTAACAAACATATTAAATACTCACAGATATTAGGATATTAAGAAGATTCTCTAATGTTGGTAACTGTGGTATTAATTTTTGAACGACTTTACTGAATGCCTCAAATATTGAGTGATCATATATTGAGGTAAGGTGGAAAGACAAATGTACATGTTCTAATCCTGCCTCTGCAAGATCATCATTTGCCCGATGGTGAATATCTCTTTGAGACTCCATTTTGTAATCATCATTCAAACCATCAACCTGTAAAAAGAAAAATTTAAAGATTTTGTTAAAAAAACATCATTAAAAATTAAGATATGTACAATTTATATTTATTTACCTTATGAATAAACACTTCAAACTTAATGTTATTATTAACTCTATAAGCTTTGGTCACAGTTTGTTGTAATTTATCCAAAGCATCTTGGTAGTCATCCTAGAACAATACAAATTAAAGAAATTTTAAATATAACTATCTTGATATAATAAAACATAATAATAATCTTTCATAGAATACCTGAGCATCTATTACAAAAACTAATGCACCACATCCTCCAAAAATTGTGTCAGAGTCAAAAGTGGGATCAAAGAAGTCAATTTGTCCTGGAAAATCCCAAATTTGAAACTGTACAAAACTACTGTTATTGATATCATCCTTGACAATTTTATTTGTTGATTCCAGAAACAAAGTTTCATTAGGTGACATTTTATGAAATACTACTTTTTGGATTGAAGATTTCCCTGATCTGTAAATTTTAAAATAATTACTTTCATTAAGTTGTGAAGCTAATTACGATTGAATATATTAACGAATAGTACGAGTGCAGTCAGATAACAAACCTTCTGAGACCCATGAGCAATATTCGAGGCTTATGATCCTCTTGTAATGACGTGTTGTCTTCATCTTCATTCTGTTCAAAAGGCCCGTAGCTAAAATCTTTTGGAAATGATCCCACGTAACAATTGTTTTCATCTTGATAACTCTGAAGCATATATATAAATAATGAAATAACTGTGTTCTCAAAAAAGTGGTCAAAAATTATTTTACGAACTCACCATTGTGTTTGTTCGTCACCTTACATATTTCACTTAGACTCTAAACATATAAAAGATAAATTAGTTACAAGGATCGAATACTATAATAATCGTGTTATTTTTAACAACTTTGAACTTTTCATGAATGGAGAAAGTTTAATTTAGCTTGAGTAGGTAGTTATGTGTTGATGAAAATTAACACAATTGAAACTGACCCAGACTGACGGACAACCTGTCTGTGTCTTGACAATTGACATTATTTTCTAGTGTTACCACCATTTCGGGTAAGTATTAAGTGTCATCCACGCGATACAATTTTACGTCCAATTTGATTAGATTGACAATCGAATTGTGTTGTGTGGACGGAAATATGAAATTGAAGGTCATTGGATGGTCGGTATCGCCCGATTCGGGATTGCCCAATCAAATTGGATGTTGTGGACGCTAACTGGCCAATTTTTTAACGTAGTCACTGAGCAAGTGGCGTTCAGAGCGGGTGTGTGCGTTGACTTGCGTTTTGAGAAGAAGATGGAGCAACATGACGACAATATTATGTCTATTCGATCTGAACGGGAAGTAATGGAGGAGATTTTAGATATATGTAAAGACTTGCCATGCCTTTGGGATGTGTCTAACCCATTATATAAAAAAAGGTAAATTTTAAAAATCAAAAAACCCGACTGCTTAATTATACTTCTAATAAAAACTGAAAAGAAAAAAACAAGTCCAGTAGTCTATAATTCTGTTAATAGGGAACAAAGCTACTTTAACAGTCGGGACCCATTAGATATTCAAGAATACATAATATTTTTCAACAGTGGGTCCCGACTGTTAAAGTAGCTTTATTCCTTATTAACAGAATTATAGACTACTGGACTTGTTTTTTTCTTTTCAGTTTTTATTAGAAGTATAATTAAGCAGTCGGGTTTTTTGATTTTTAAAATTTACCTTTTTTATTTCACACTTTTTAGTTAGTTAGTATTTTAAGACGGTATATACCGTAGTCTTGTGACTTCAGCATGGGAATTAATATCGCGGGAATTATTAAATACCTGGCGTCGGTCTAAAAGATTGATTTATTAAGACATATAAAGACTTTACCAGCGGGGTCAAGGCTACAGCTGGGCCTCAATTTTCGCAAAAATGTGTGAAATTAAATCAAGTCGTTACATAAATATCTCTAATGTATGTAAATTTTATAGTAAACTAGAACTTACTCAAAAAGTCATCTTTTCTTTATGTTTTTTTTTTAATACTTTAGCAGTAAATATAAAATTCATTTACTTTTATTCGTCGACTATTTAAAATTGGCAGTGGCTGCATTGTCATGGCAATGCCGGACGTCTAAGATTGTGATATACACAAATTCAGTGTCAGTCCCTAGTCTCATAATTTGATAAACCTACATAATTCACAGAAACCCAATATGTAGATGCCAGAAGTTAACTTCAAATGTTTTTAATCACCCTATATACAATACCAATCAATGACATTTATGTCGCAGGTTGAAGAAGGCAGTAATTCCCGTCTGTTGTTTTGGACAATGGTGGCAACTGCCTTAGATCACTAAATTAAATAATTATGCAACCACCAAAGCAAAGTTTATAATATTTGATTAAACTAAAGGCGCATAATAAAATTTTCATAACGTTAGGTAGAGCACCATAGCAATCTCATTTATTATCAATTTATAGTTCTCTTTGTAGTTTTCTTTTAAAGCGTTCACATTTAACAGGTCAAAGACTTTGTGTTCGACCCTTTTTTATTGGTAGTGTAAAGCTCGAATGAAGAGTACTCCCAGTAGTGCAACCATGGCAATTATTTTCCATTTTTTTTTGTTTAAAAAAATACCGAATAACGTATCACTGTTAAGCACAAATGCTAAGTAACTTTTACAAATATAATCAAATAAACCTATTACTTACTTTATTTTTAAATCTTTTTCATCAATTAAATACTTATCTTATCCTAACTATCTATACTAATATTATAAAGAAGAAAGATTTGTATGTTTGTAACAAATAATCAGTCAAACTACTGAACCGGTTTCAAATATTAATTCATCATAAGGTAGCTACGTTATTTATTATAACATTTTTCTTTATTTAAATACATTTTGTCGGAGTGACATAGGCTATATTTTATCCCGATAAATAAATTTCGCCCTTACAATGCCCGGGTGGATCACTAGTAAGTATAATATAATATTATAGATGCGAAAGTGAATTTGTTTGTTGCGCTTCCATGCCTTAATAGCTAAATCGAATATAATGGATTCCCATATAGAAGTAGATGGGAACTTGGTTCTTAGCTACAATATCGCAATACTTACCTATAAAAATCTACATTATTTACTTTGAATTTTGCAGAATTATTACAAAACCAATATTATCGCGAGCTGATTAATAAATACAGGGATTCCAATAAGTATGTACTTACTAGCGAAAAATGGGTTATTTGTCATTATATTAAGTAAACCTTTTTTGTAACATTAAGTAACATCGTTAAAAAAAAAAACAGTAAATTTCTGAGTTTTTCATTAAAATTCAATAATCATAAATACCTATTATGATAATATATTTTTCATCATTTAATAACAAGGAACTGTATCACAGTTTTATTGTTAGTACTTCGTATAGGATCAGATACTGCGAATACCCCATTTTTTTTCTTTTACATAGTACACCGCGCTATCACTTTGTCATCGTTGTAACTTTTTAAATATTTGTCGAAATGACATAGTGTAAAAAGCAAAGTTTATCGTCTTTAAATATCAAAAGCGATTAAAGTATTTGTTTGGATAAAAAATGATTTGTTAATACAAAATGTGCATTTCGGAAATCGATATCAAATAATATTTTAGTTTTGATTCACTATTTTAGCGGTAATGACTTACACATTAAAAATAGATATATGGTGTCACGGACTTTTTTTTAGAACTATTTAAGAGATACATTTTCACTCTCATGTAACTTTTATTGTCTTTGCAGTGCAGGCCAAAATGGCTCGCAGATGGGAGATTTTTTTCCGTCTTATGTGACACTTATTGTTATATATTGGCCAATTCACTCAATAACTACATAAATTATTATATATATGTAATTATCATATATGAGCTATATTACTGTTAAGTTTCATTAAAATTCATTCAGTATTTTTTAGGTGAAAGAGTAACAAACATCCATACAAACGTAAGATTGAAATTAAAAGCGTAAGTGGTTAATATTCAACTTTAAAGCGTTGTAGATCCTAAACAATCATATAAAATGAAAAATGGTGTTAGGAACCTAAATATGATTTTTGATTATCTAGACAGTGATACCCCACTCGACATATTTTGTCGACTTATTTTTTTTACTTCGTCACAATATGGCGCCTAATGTTGCCCATATTGAATTTTGATTACTATCATATCTTTAGTAGCACTCCCATGATTGAGACGAATCGATTGATGTATGAATCATCAAAATCGGTCCAGGCGTTTGGTCTCTAGTGTGCCACAAAGGAACAAACATACATATATAGACTGTTAAACACATAACCCTGTCTGCGCGTCGCGCGTCGCGCTCTTGCATTGCGCAGCCGGGTAAAAATAAACAAGCAAGGCATAATTCCTTAGAGATTTTAAATAAAATACTTTAAACTAAATTAAGTAATAAATTCATACATAGACAATAAAACTTAAAAATCGAACAATGAAATAACCAAACGCTCAATAAAAGTCTTTCGAAGGTAGCTCGACAAATTAAATAAAAGTTTTATTCTGATGACGAAGCATGTAAAGGCTACGAAACGTCAATAAATAAATAAAGTTTCGTGCATTAACCCGTAAAAACTAGTTTTATTTAATGAGTGATGTGCGTGAAAACCTAAGAAACAAATATTATATTCTACTCAATGATATGCGCGCATGCTGGGGTAAAAAAGAAATAATATTATATATATTTTTTTATAATTTTAATTTTTTAAACATGTAATAGGCTAGTTGACCCTTTTTGGAAAAAGGTTTTAAATGGTTAATAAATGTTCTATTAGCCCGAAAAAAAATGTATTGTATTTTTTTTAAACCTAGAAAGCTACAAATCTTTAATTTTAAAATAGACTTTTCATGGAAATACAAAAACGCTGTCGGCCATTTTAGTCTATAGATTGTCTATGCTATGACGTGAACTGTGGTAAACAAAAACTCGTAAACACGTAGAAAATTACTTTTAACTGAGTTTATAATAAAAAAAAACATGATTTCTAATAAATACCACGAAAAATAAAGTAATTATCATTACTGTATTGTACGAGAATATAAAAACACATCCTTGAAGACTCCAGGAAAGTTGTGGATTAAAGTGCCGAAAGAAATTAACCTACGCAACTTTATTACACTTATTCATATGTTGTATCAGTTTTATGTTTATTACTACATTGTAATACTAAATGCACTGTACTTACATAGATGCCTTGTCGTTTCTCTGCTCCGCAGAGCAGAAATCGGGGTTTAGTGCAACAAATTCACCAACCATCAATGCGTCAATTCTTGGCAGATTTGTGATTTCTGCTTTCACAAAGCCGGCATCCATAATTTGTTTAGTCAAAAAAAACTAAGTTTACTGTTTTTTTCTTTCCTAAAGTTAAAAGTGTTTTAAGATAAATTTAGTCAGACGAAAGAATCCACCTACAGTAACACGCGAATGACATTTAGTTGTTTACCACAAGAGACGTCAAAATCATGGCGAATGTGGCGAACAGCGTTTTTAGTGTTTAAAAAATATAGACTAAAAAATATTTTTTAAAATTAAATTTCTACAGCAATCTTCTGCTTTTATGAAGTGAAATCGATATATTAAGGTTCCTTAGACTAAACACTTTAAGAAATAAACATTTATTTAATACAATTCGACATGAGTAAACTAGCCTATTGCTTGATGTTTAAATCTAATGAAAATATAACTCGAAAAAAATCCACGCAGACCAGGCAGCAGACGGGACTAGAACCCGCACCCTTCGCAATTCGGGCGAATGCACTGACCAATTATGCTACCGCGGCCCTCACGGACTGCGTCGAAATTCTGCCAGCCATTCTTAAGTTGCAAGGCAGCGCCATCTCTTCGCATTATAGGTAACCCAGAATGTCAAATGAATACTTTTACAAGTATTAAACATTTGAAAGAAGAAATAGCAATTATAGTTATATTTTTGAAGTTATACTTCTTTAGGCGCGTTATGAAAAAATGATGA